GCTTGGCTGTTCTGTAGACCAGGCTTTCCTGAAACTCAGACATCTGCCAGCCTCTGCCTTCCTAGTGCTGGGTTTAAAAGTGTCCTCATCACACCCAGCTCTAAGCTTTTCTTTAGTTCCTTCTCACAATCTGGAAACTTAGTGGGTTCCCTGAGGTCACTGCTCCTTATATTCCATTTCTTAATCCATTTCTCTCCTTGAACAGAGACTTTACCTCCATTCCATTTCCTGATGCTCTTTTTTTCCTGAAATTTTTCATTTTATAATTTACCCTGCTCAGCTTGCCCTTTTCATTATAAATCCTCATGAGAGTTATCACTAGGAATCACACAGTAGTGTCTATACTAGGTTATTTTGTGTTTTTCTCTGCCAGTGGAATTCATCCAAAAATTTTTATTTTCGCCCCAGGCAGAAGACTCTTCAAACAAAGGCAAAAAGGCAGCCACTTTCCTCACCAAAATATCATAAGAATGATCTCTAGGCAGCATACTGAAATTCTTCTCCTAGGAAACCTCTTGAGTGAGCACACCACAATTTATCAAACCACACTCAACACCACAGTTAGTACGACCCATTAAACAGCACCTAAAGCTCTCAACTGCTTTTCTAATCCACAGTCCCAAAGTCCATATTATTACAAACAAAAACATAGTCAGGCCTATCCCAGCAACACCCCAGTCCTGCTACCAACTTCTGTCTTAGTTAGGGTTTCTATTGCTGTGAAGAGGTGGTGTCTTTATAAAAAAAAAAGCATTTATTGGGGTGGCTCTCTTACAGAGGTTCAGCCTGTTACCATCATGACAGGGAGCATGGCAGCATGCAGGCAGTCACGTGCTGAGGCTGAGATTGCTACATCTTGCAAGCAACAGGAAGCCAACTAACACACTTGGTGGTATCTTGAGCACAGGAAACCTCAAAGCCTGCCCCCACAGTGACACACTTCCTCCAGCAAAGCCACACCTCCTAACAGTGTCACTCGCTATGAAATTATGGGGGTCAATGACATTCAGACTACCACAGATGGGTTGTCACAGCCGGAGGAAGCGAGATGTGCTTTAGTTTGGGAAGATGGGAGGTTCTGGAGAAAGATGGTTTGGATGTCTTCACGGCACTGTAAATACACTTCATGCTCCTGGCTGTATGCTTAGGTGTGAGAAACGGGGGATTTTATGTTAGCTCCATTTCACCTAACTCATATGGCATATAGTTCTACTTAAACATTCCTGTTGTTAATATCCTTAATTTCTCCAACTAGAGAAGAACCCTGAAGTTCCCCCTTACCTGACCTGCCCATTTGTCTTGCTCCCTCACTCTATGCGCCCATCCTAGACACACTTTAAAGGCTCCCTGCACCAGCCAGTCCCTGCTGGGGCCTTTGCCCTGCTGCTTGATCTCTGGTGTCCCCATCCTCTTGTCTCCAGGAGGCTGCCCATCACCCACCTGTCCTCCTACAGCAGAGTGACCTTCTCTTGGCTCCTTTCTCAAACTGCCCAGCCTTGGTACAGGACTTAAAGGGACCCCATGAATCTTGTCATATCCCTGTCAGGGTCAGCACCAGCTCACAGCCAGATCATCCGTTAGAAGGGTACAGAGGGAAAGAGACCAGAAAGCAACTCTGTGAGGTCCATGGTGGAGGCCAGGAAAATCAAGGTCCTTGGAGGAGGCAGGGGGAGCTAGGCATGCTCGTGAAGCCTGGATCCAGGGTTGGAAGTGCATACTGAGCCTTCCTCATGTGAGGACGACTCAGAGGAGCAGGGTGTTAGAGTCAGGGTGACCTGTGTAACCTCTACAGCTTCTCAAGTGTCACCATGCAGCGTCATGTCTGTGGTGACAGGCTAGAGTTTGGAAGCCATGAAAGCCATGTACTTTCCATCTGTTTCCTCTTGAAGACTGGTCTTGCTAGAAACCTCTGAATGTATTGGGTGCATGGGCCCAACAGTGCCCAAACCGAGAAGCACTGTTTCTAGGATGGGTCAACACAGGCTCTCTGTGGCCCTGGGGAATCTTTGTCCATAGGACCATGTTCATCCCTGAGCTCTGTGTGGCCCAGTGCAGTTCCCTTTGTCCTGGCTGGCCCTGGACTCAGAGACCAAGATGAAGGACAGGGTCCCGCCCCAGGCTCTGTGGTCAAAACCACAGAGCTGGTTCCTGGCATAGCTGAGGCACCCCCCCACACACACTCTGCACTCCAGGAGGCGGCTGGCCATCCGCTTGCTCCCCTCTTACCCCTGCCAAGCAGGAACAACCATATCCCTCCCATCCCTCTCCTCCCTGTCCACAGTTTCCAACTCCTTCAACTGTGAAGAGGTAAACTCGGAAGGCTGTGCAAACAGGCCGGGTGGCCACCACATCCGGGATGTCTCAACAACCACGACCCCAACAAGCTGTCACCCTCCGTCCCCAGAGGTGTGCCCAGTGCCAGAACAAGGGAAGGACTTAGGTGGGAGCTGCAGCTCCCCCGGTGTGATGTGTGTATCTATTGGGCGCCTACTGTGTGCTGCTGTGGACACAAAGGCTACAGTGCTTTGTTTTCTTTTTTTCCGAGTGAGGATAGACGGGAGTTGGCAATGTCACCTGAGCCGGGGGTGGATGAGGCCCACTGGGCCCAGATCAGTGGACACAGGGTGCCAGGTCCTGGGCATGGGAGAGAAACCGGTAAGGTAGCCAGGGACACTCCAGAGATGGGAGTCTACGGGATTCTCCCTGTGAGACCAGCTCAACAGTGAATAAAGTGAAATTGAGCCCCAGCTGTTGCCCGGCCTGTGAGCAGGTAGGAAGGCCTAGAACAGGTTGCAGCAGAGGCCTAGGCAAGCCACGACTGGCGACACACACCACCTAGGAAGGGGACAGTCCACTCTCCAGACCATCACTGGGTGTCCTTTGGCCGCACCATTTGGCAGTGGAAAGAGGAACTCGGCATGAAAGAGGACATTGCAGATCTGAAGGTCCTGATGGGCAGCATTCAAAGCAAAGGTCCGATATGTAGTACCAGACCCAGCACCAGGTCTCTAAGCAGGAGCCACGGGCCACATGTGCTATACACATGCACTGGGCATTAAAGAAATTACAGACAAAGATGAAAAAGAGGGGCCGGCCTGGCAGCTAGCCTGAGCACACCCAGGGACCTGGGGGCATCTGCCATGTCAGGAGCAAATGAGATCAGACTCGACATCATTATTGATGAAGTCCACATCGTATACTTTTATCCATCCTGATTACGGCCAAGGACACAGCTTAGCGGCATGCACAGCCGCCCACATCCACCTCTAGAACGTTCTATCTTCCCAGTGGACACCCTGTCCCCATTAAAGACACACTCCAGCCTCTGGCATCCCAACTTTCTGTCTCTGCAACTTTGACAACTCTGGGGTCCTTCTAGAAGGGGAACCCTGCAGGATTCTCTCTTTAGGGCCTGGAATCCTCAAGGTCCACCCAGGTTGTGGTGGGTATCAGAATGCCCCTCTTTGCTTGAGTCTGTATACGATTCCACTGCAGGGATTCGCCATCACTTGCTCAGCCATTGTCCAAGCCATTGGGGCACCCCTGTTTTAGCAGCCATGGATGGGGTCACTAGATGAGGGGTGACAGTATTAGTCACTGTTTTCTCTTTTTCTGGGGGTGTACCTCACGGTAGAACTGCTAGGCTATATAGCATTTCTGTTTTCAATCTAAGCCCCACTCGGCTGTCCACTGACTGAGCGGGATTCCCACTTCACCCCATCCTCGCCAGCCCTACCTGTGTTCTCTCGGTGGTGAGACAGTTCAAGGCTTTTCCTGCAAACCATTCCCTTTCCCAACATTCCATCTCTAGAAATTTATCCTCAGAAAGATAAGTGCAGGGACAGTCAGGGAGGGACTTCCAGGATACTGAAGTCACTCGAACACCCCACACTCCCCCAGCCTGGTCCACCCCTAGGAACTTTCTCAGGCTGCTGAGATCTGGTGCGCATTGCTGGTGGCTGCACGGCTGTAAGAGAAGGGATGTAAACCCAGTCTGCGCATCCAACGGAAAAGCGGTGCTACGATATGAACATCCTGCTCTTTGCACGGCCTAGAAATGGCATTGGTGGGTTTGTTCACGGTCAAGGAAAGGGCTCCCCAAAACCCTCAGGAAACCCAACCAACACAACTGAGAGAACTGAGCCTCTGGGACTCCCCTTCAGGGTGGGCAGTAGTGTCAGGAAAGTCCCAGTCATTCCCTCACCCCACTGTGCCCCCCAGGTTCACCAGTTCCACCAGCTGTGGCCCCAGGTAGGTCTTTTGTCAAGACCCAGGGTTAATAAGCCACCCCTGGGAAGAGGTAGAGTTCACTAGGGGAAATCTGTGGCCTACGTTGGCCAAAATCAGTACAGGACCTCATTTTCACCACGTGCTTGAGCTCAGCAGCAGACAGGAGCCCAGAGATGCATCCTTTCTCAGAGTCGGTGAGGGGTTCCCTTCTCCTGGGACCCCCAGAAGCTACAGAGACTCTACCAGATCCATGGCCATCTGGAATGCAACCAGAATCCCAGTTTCCAGGCTGAGGGATACCCTTGAGGAGTAGGCCCACCCTCAAGCCTTGCCCATTCTTCAGGGACTCAGTGCCGATCACTTAGGGTCAGCTTCCTGAGCAAACACAAGGCAAGGCTGCCGACCTTCTGACCCTGATCCTTGTAGTGTCCAGGCTCCCACAGGAGTTGGCATAGGACTCCTGACCAAATACCAACTTCATATGCCCAGGGCTTCAAATCCAGAGTAGCCAGCTCCACCCCCTGGCCAAGTGCTGGCCCTTCCCTGCCCTATCTACTCCCTCCCAATTCTCAGAAGCCGCAGGGGGTGGGGGCCCTCTGTCTGGTGGCACAAGGCTGCAAATCCTTCCTCCTGCACGGCCTCTTCCTGCCATAGCCCCTCCCCAAGAGCAAACACACGTGGCTGTGCAGGGAGTAGACGGTGCCTTACCTGGCCTAGGAACTGGGCACTGGGCCAAGGTCTTCTGCTACATAAGTCCAGGCCCCCAGGGAGCAAGTGCCTTGTCTCAGTCCTTCCTGCCTGCCCTCTGCGCTGTCCCTAGGATGGGCAGCAGGAGCTGGAACTGGGCTCTGGTCTGGGCCTCTGTGGCCTTGTTCACGGTATGGCCAGCAGGTAAGGTCAAAGCCCCTTGCCCTCTAAAAAACATCTTCCCAGAGAGATGACTTCCACCTGGGGATTTTCCCTCCCGAGACAACAGGCATCTCCCACTGTCCCCAACACCGTGGTCCCAGGTCTTGCGGTTCTCTGGGCTCTGGATCCTATGTCCCACCCTCTAGCTCCGTCAGCAGCCTAAGGGCCTGGCTTTGATGGAGGTTTTTCGATGAAATTAGGTGCTCTAAGCCTCAAGGTATGCACCCTCATGGGTGAAAACCCCATGGCAGTCTTGGCTTTGGAGATGAAACAGGACTGAGGTCTTTCTGAGTCAGAGAGGTCTGTATCAGAATTAGAAGGGACAGAGACTCTTAGTAAGGACAGGCCCTGCTCTCCCATCAACTGCTGGGGTCACAAGTACCGAGGTGATCTTCACCAAGGCTGGGGTCTCCTTGGTGAAGTGGATTCTGCCTCCGGGTATTAGGGCTGGAGCCAGATCATATGGATCCGATACCCAGAGCTGTGGTCTGAACCCAGAACTGAGTCAGGTAGGCTGTGTGACCCTTATCAGCAAATCTGCTTTCCCTGTCAGTTTGCTCTTGAGAAAACCGCAGTATCAGCGCTGTCGGCAGTATTGGAAAGATGGCTCCCACAGGACTCAGCTGGAAGCAAGCAGAGCTAGCCTGAACCCCCAGGTGTCATGACCTCTCCAAGCTCTGCTCTCTAGACTAGGGAAGCTCAGCTCCAGGCTTCCTGTATCTGTGAAAAGGAGACAGACAGTAAGGGAGGGTGGGGTCCCCAAAGCCCATTCTTGGAGAGCCAGAGAGGCCATGGTTGTCTCTCGTGCTTCCAAGGCTGTCTGCTGGCTGGGAACTGCTCTCATGGGCCTTCTCCCTCCCTCCACAATGTGGCTCTCCCTAAGCCAGGGCCTGTCCATCAGAATGCTGCGCCTACCTGGTGAAGTCAGCCCTCCTTCCCACACGCTTTACTTGGGAAGGGCAACTTTAAGCCCTGGGTTGGGGGAGTGTGTTTCTGTGACAGCTGTGCCTGGGGTAAGGGCGAGAGGCTGGGCCCTCACATAAAGGGGATCTGGTGTTTGTCCGGATGGGAGGCGGTAACCCAGACCAAGATGTTATGGGGGGGTGGCTGACAACTCTCTAGCTAAGTGGAGACGGGGAGATCTCAGCCTGAGGGAGACTGGCATAGAGCAGCAGTGCTTGGGGTGGGGGTGGTGTCCTCACCCGTGGGGCCCTCCAGCAGACGGCAGCGGAAAGGCTGGGCCAGGACCATTTGGGAGAGGCTGTGGATCTAGGATCAGTGATGGACAGAGGGAGAGGCCATGCCCTCTGGGGAATGCAGTCAAGCGGGGCCCTTGAGGAAGGATTAATGCACAGGACGGTCCCTGCGGTTTCCAAATGTCAGCTGGACACGCTGGGAAAATCAAACAGGAAGCCGCGCTGCCCATGGCACAGGAGCGAGTGGCCATCTGGGTCAAGGCCTGGGGGACATGGTCTCCTGCAAAGTGCTGGCCTTAAGGAGCCATCGGGCTTTGGAGGCTTGAGTTATGGAGGTTGAAGCTGTCTCTTGGACCTCTAGCAGTGAGGCTGTGGCGGTGGCCTTGCCCAGAGGCAATGGACCATCCAGGCTGCTGAGAGTGGACATCCTGCACCAAGAATGGCACCCTCATGCCACCTGCCCCGACCCACAGCTCCAGGCTGGGGCTGCCTCTGATCATAGGTTTCTTTCTGCCGTGTCCCTCTTAGGAACTTCTGACTGTATTCTCTCTAACAAAGCCATTTTTCATCTTCCAAGGGACTCAAGTGGTGGGGCTGACTGTCACCTCCCGACAGATGGTCACCGTTCCAATATTAATATGGTTTCCTAATTGACTTCTTCAAGCCACTGGGCACATCTGCCCCACTACTGGCAAGACCAGGTGTCACTCCATAGGTGCAGGTGGCGAGGGCCACTGCAGGGGAAGGACTGACTGGGCTGGAAGGGTCAGAATTCCCGAGGACACCTGGCTCTTTGGTGATGGTTAGTGACTGAAGGCTACCACAGCTGATGGGGTTGGAATCGCCAGGCCCAAATCTGTTCAGGGTTTTGGAGATTACAGGAAGGTCTTGACCTGGGAGCAGAGCAAGTCCACAAGCCTCACACTAAGCCAGAGCAATGGCCACAGTCTGATGGCTTCTTCTTGACTTGTGTTCTCCTATCCTGCAGAGAGCCAGAGCCAGGCAGAAGAACTGAGCTCAGAACACCCCGAACTCACCGGAGATGGTCAGAAAGTGTACAGTGGTACGTGGCTCAGGCTCTGGGTTGGGGAGTCATATTCTGATGGCAGGGGCAGCAGGGAGTGGGGTGGGGGCTCAGGTGGGACAGGCAGATGGTCTCCCCACACCAGTTAACACAGTGAGACTCTTGACTAGTCCATTCTAGCGCTGGGCACACACAGACAGGAGCACCCAGGAGAGGAAGGGCTCCTGGGTAAACAGGAGAAGGTTTCAGGAGGAGGGTCGGGGGACCATGGAGAAACTGGATGGTTACCCGTTAGTCCTAGGCTTCCTGATTCCCTTGAGGTGGGCATCGAAGAGAGTGGGTGGCCAGGGAGGAGATCCCCAGCCACAGCCCCGGTGTGACCCAGCCTTCCTACTGCAGCTCCCACATCCTCGTCCACCTGGCACGTCACCTTCATCCCGCCCATGACCGTCTTCCCGACCATGAGCCGTAAGTGGGCAGCACCTACTGCTGTCAGGCCAAGGAGAGTGGGGGGCGGGGCTTGCCAGTGTGGTTGAAGCTGACATAGGCTGAGGCCTCTGAACAGCTATGAAAAGGGTGTGGAACTTGCCCTGGGAACATCCATTGACTGAGTGTCTGGATTGTAGCAAATGAAATGGATGAGGGGTGGGTCTGGGTCTTTAGGTTTTATCCAAGCAACTGAGGGGGGTGGAATAGCAGAGAACTGGCCCATGGAGCTATTGGTAGTTGGGTTCTCTGCTCCAAAGATGCTGCCATGGCCCCAGGAGGTTGCCCGTTAGGTAGCTGGGTATGGAGTGCTGGCTCTCAGTGGTGACTCCGTCTGGTTTCCCTGTAGCCGCAAACCTGGCACACAACGGGAGGGTGTGCAGCACATGGGGTGACTTCCACTACAAGACCTTCGATGGCGACATGTTCCACTTCCCCGGCCTCTGTAACTATGTCTTCTCTTCACACTGTGGGGCCACCTATGAGGACTTCAACATCCAACTGCGTCGTGGTCTTGAGGGCTCCAGGCCCGTGGTCACTCATGTGGTCCTCAGGGCCCAGGGGCTGGTGATTGAGCTGGCCAATGGCTCTGTCCTGGTGGATGGACAGCAGTGAGTTGGGTCTTGGGGAAAAAGCATGCTCAAGCCAGGCCTTTAGACCTTGCTCTGTCCCTACTCGGTCCTCTGGGGGAGGGGTCAGGAGCAGAGCAAGTGGGGAGGATAGCCCCTGCTCATACCCCGCTGAAGGAAGACCAGAACTTTCTGCCTAGGGTGGAGCTGCCCTACAGCCGTGCAGGTCTTCTGATGGAGGAGACCAGTGGGTATGTGAAGCTCAGCATCCGGCTAGTCCTCACCTTCCTGTGGAATGAAGACAGTGCTCTGGTAAGGACACTCACCCACAGTTCCCTACAGCCCCCCATAACCCTACATAAGCCTTACACAGGCCCTTACAGCCTCACTTAATCCCCTCTCAGTTCCATAGATCCCCAGAATCCCCCGTCTCCCACAGCCCCCCCATTCTCCCCTATAACCCCTCTCAGTTACCATAGTCCCCACAAGCTCCCCACAGATTTCATCAACTCCCAGAGTCACTCCTGGCTTCCTGCAGTCTCCCACAGCCCATACAGCCTCCCCCATAAACTCACAGTTCATCCGCAGCTTCTCTAGGGACCTATGATAGGGACCCTACAGACTATCGGGGGAATATCTTCTATGGTCCCCTGGGCAAGTGGGGTGGGAAGCTACCAAGTGGGCCTTGGAGCCAAAGCAGAAGCCCTGAGGCCGGAGTTGCTCTGTCTCCTCCTCTCAGCTGGAGCTGGACTCTAAATATACTAACCAGACGTGTGGGCTGTGCGGCGACTTCAATGGGCTCCCAGGTGTCAACGAGTTCTACGCCCACAGTGAGTGTCATTGAGTCTTCAGGCTAGGTGGTCCCAAGGGACAGAGAATCAAGGAAGTCCAGGAGGGACATGGGACGGGGGTGTTGCCGAGACATTGAGGAGGGAAGTGTGTGTGTGTGTGTGTACACGCGCGCGCGTGCGTGTGTGTGATCCAGATAGAGTCCTCTGATAGCCACCTCAGGAAGTCTATCTCCTGACTGTGAGTTTTCCCTCCTGCAGACACCAGGCTGACCCCTGTACAGTTTGGAAACCTGCAGAAGCTGGATGGTCCTACTGAGCAGTGCCAGGACACCCTGCCCTCAGCAGTCAGCAATTGCACAGATACGGTGAGCATCTTGATGAGACCACAGCTCCCAAGGCTGGGGACAGTGCAAGGCCTGCATCACCTGATAGAATAACAGAGGACTTCCTGGCCAAAGGCTGAGGAACATCTTCGGGTGACAAGACAGTGAGAGCCTTCCTGCTCCGGAACAGACAGAGAATGGCCTCTGAGACCTCAGAGATTGCTGCTGGGGCCTGAGGGAGGCAGGCCAAGTTGGCTTTCTCCCATGGGACCAAATGGCTCACATTTTTGATGGAATTCACAACCCACTCACCAGGGCACACAAGTTCTCTGTATGTAGGTGATGTGTTTGAAGGAGATGTGTACCCACCACCACACAGAGGGCCAAGGTGAACACTCAAGGAGCCCCTCCTATGAGCAGGGAGGACTCATCCTTAGGATCTGACTCCAGAAACCCCAAAACTAGTAGAATGCCTTATTCCTACCTAAACTGAAAAGTGAACGAGGATGTTGTCAAATCCTGGCCTGTCGGGGGTACTGGGGTAGGAAGGGGTTGAGTAGCAGCACGGAATCCATGAGGGCCATCTGAGGGTTGGCGTTATCTTTCTTTCCCTGTCTTCTGAGTCACAACACAGGAGTGCATTCTGCATTCTCCTGGGTGCACAAGTCACAAGTCAGCATGTCTTGGAGCCTTGAAATAGGAGGTGGAAGGAACAGAGAGCCCTGGGTCACTCCCTCAGAGCCAAGTAGAGCTCTATACCCAGGCACAGCACAGTATTTGGATAGCATAATGTATAAGGAAGGTGGATGGATAATGGATGGATGGATGGATGGATGGATGGATGAAGTAGGTGATCGATGGATGGATGGGTAGATGAGCGATTAATGAATGATAGATGGATGGTAGATGGATGATGGGCAGATAATGAATGGATGGATAGATGATGGATGGACAGACAGACAAACGAATGTATAGGTGGAAGGAACCTCCAGGTGAAGAAGGGACTTCCTCCTGTATGGCCTAGGAAGGGCAGGGTTCCTATTACAAGTGCCACAGCAATCCTGCCTGAGGGTCAGAAGATGCTTAGCCTCTCTGTACTCCCCAGGAGGACATCTGCCGCCGCATCCTGCTTGGCCCTGCCTTTGCCGAGTGCATCGCCCTGGTAGATGTCAACATGTACTTGGATGCCTGTGTCCAGGATCTGTGCCGCTGCCCCACATGCCCATGCGCCACTTTTGCTGAATATTCCCGCCAGTGTGCCCATGCAGGAGGCCATCCGCAGAACTGGAGGAGTCCTGATCTCTGCAGTGAGTATCCTCACTAGAGAATAGCCCAGGGTCTTACTAGGACCAGTCTTAAGCATAGACCCTGGCAAGGAAGTCAAGATAAGAGAATCAGTTAAGGGCCACAGAGAGGGTGAACGTCAGGGAAAGAGGAGGTAGTGGGGAGGCTGGGGGGAAGATGCTGTACCTGAGGGTTCTGATGTTGGTCTCTGAGTGGGGACTCAGTTGTGTCCCTGAGCACAGGAACAAGATATGGCCCCAGAACCTTGGGGCAGGATCTCCTGGAGAGCAGTGGCCTCAGGTGGCCATAGGTAGAGAAGGAAGTATGAGAAATGTTGGGTTCCTGTTCTCTAGCCTGCTGCTTTACTTAGCAGATGGCACTCTGGGACCTCAGTGGACATGGGAGCAGGGAGTAGGCATGGATCCTACTGACTGAAGCAGTCAGGACCCACTTCTCCTAGGTCAAGAGCTATCTCTGTTACAGACTGGACATGCCCCTTCAACATGGAACACCAGGAGTGCAGCTCGCCCTGCGTGGATACCTGCTCCAACCCCCAACGCTCTCAACTCTGCGAGGATCACTGCATGGATGGCTGCTTCTGTCCCCCAGGCAGGCCCTGTGCCCCTCCATGGCTACCTTTAGGATCATGGTCTCCACCTCAGCTGATCCTCTCCACTCTTAAGGGCAATAGGCCTGGCTAGGGGTTGCATCCCAAAGTTACAGGCAGGATGGACACTGATTATTAACAAGGATGAGATCTGATGATCTATGCACAGAAAACAGGTGTTTTTAGTCCTTGAGGTCAGGTGGGGAAACTAAGGCCCAGAGGAGCTTATATCAAATAGGTCAGGCTGGGGCAGCATTCTAGATGAGGGGCCCTTCCCGCTGCCTAGGACTGGGATTGTCTTGTTGGAGGCAAGTTGCCTCATGTTACCTGTACCGGGAGCATCTGTAACCACTGTCCCTTCCTCCAGGCACTGTGCTGGATGACATCAGACACTTGGGCTGCCTGCCCCTGGAGCAGTGCCATTGCACCCGTGGTGGGCACACTTATGCCCCTGGAGAGTCCTTCAACACCAGCTGCAGCTCCTGGTAAGCTTAACCACCTTTGTGGAGGTGTGCAGGGTGAGGTTTTCCTCTTACGGCTGTAAACCCTTCTGCTAATGGACTCCCCCACAGCACCTGCTCTGGGGGATTGTGGCAGTGCCAGGACCTGCCGTGCCCCGGCACCTGCTCTGTGCAAGGCGGGTCCCATGTCTTCACCTATGACGAGAAACTCTACAATGTGCATGGGGACTGCAGCTATGTCCTGTCCAAGGTATGGCCGCCATCCTGGTCCACAGGGTCCTGTGAGGGTCCACAGCAGGGGCGAAGGTCATGGAAAACTTCTTTGTGGACTGGGAAGTCCCAAGCCCATGACAAGCTCCCTATGGTGAACCAGGGACCCGAGGATACCCCCAGAACCCCTCCAGGTCTTGAGAGGTTATGCATAAGAGAACTCCACATCCTTGGGTTTCTTGACAGAAATGTGCAGATAGCGGCTTCACTGTGCTGGCCGATCTGCGAAAGTGTGGACTGACGGACACTGAGAACTGCCTCAAAGCGGTTACACTCAACCTCAATAGTGGGGACATGGTGAGCACTGGGACTCTGATGACCGCCACATTATGGGCTGCAAGTGACAGATTAGGGAGTGTGGAGCATGTGGAGTAGTGACCGGCCAGAGTAAAGAGAGGTCGCTACCCCCTCTCTAATTCCTCAGGTAGGAGTGGCCACCACCCTTGTGGAGAGAACCTACTGCTGGGGCGGGCCTGCGCTTCCATCCTGGCTCTGTCACTGGGTTAGGGAGGGAGATTCTGTCAGAATTCTTCCTATTAGTGGCTGTCTGGGCCCTGTGGGTACTGACTGTGTGCACCACATGCGACCAGGTCATCCGGATCCAGGCCAACGGTGCTGTGTTCCTGAACTCCATCTTTACTCAGCTTCCCATGTCAGCAGGTGTGTGGCTCCCTGGGACAGCAGAGCCAAGGCTGGCACCTTCAGTGGGCAAACATATTTCAGCCCTGAGTAGCTCCCAGGGAGCTCTTCGTGGCCTCAGACAACTCTAGTGTTTCCCCTGGGGTGACAAGTTGCTACCCCTGGTTCAATGTGAATCCTACGTCAGGCAGTGCCAACCATGCTCTCTCAGGGGCAGCTGGCAGCCATTTATAACCCACGCACATTTGGGAGCTTTGGGCGTGGGATTTTTTGGTGCCCCCTCCTGTGTCAGCAGCACTGCGGTGTTTGGTGGGCCAACTCCCAGCGTGTCTAACCCCTCTCACCTTACAGCCAACGTCACCATCTTCAGTCCATCATCCTTCTTCATTGTGGTGCAGACTGGCATAGGACTGCAGCTGCAGGTGCAGCTGGTGCCCATCATGCAGGTGTTTGTCAGGCTGGACCCCTCCTACCATGGCCAGATGTGTGGTGAGGCACCAGAGGGTTTGAAGGTGGGACCGTGGCAGGGAGACTGGTGGGGGTCAGGTCCACCCTAACTCTAGGCTGCGAAGTAGGATCCCCTGTGGAAGGGGATTGGGAAGCACTGGCTCCAGAGCTCAGTGGAGACCCCTGCACCACCCAGCACACTTGACATCTGCCAAGTGACCTGGGAGGACAGATCCGCTGTGCTCCCCTGATGGGGCTAGCCCTGTTAGGGGCTCATCTGTGAACAGTTGTAGAATGAAGCACTAGTGAGGGTCTTTCTTCCCAGTCCTCCTTTGATCATGTTTAAAGAAGTGACAGCCCTGGGGGAAAGTGGCCAGGTTGAACAACCTGCTGACCTCCTGACTCCGGTCACTAGGCCTGTGTGGTAACTTCAACCAGAACCAGGCTGATGACTTCACAGCCCTCAGTGGGGTAGTGGAGGGCACAGGAGCTGCCTTCTCCAACACCTGGAAGACTCAAGCCTCCTGCCCCAATTCCAAGAACACCTTTGAGGACCCCTGTTCATACAGCGTGGAGACGGGTAAGCACCCTCTCTAGTCTTTGGCCATTCCAACAGCCCTTCCTGACCTCTGTGGCCACATAAACCCCTGGGGGAAGGGCTCAGAGAATTCCCACATAGGCAGAAAGGCATGATGCATTAGGGTTGAAGAGAAAGCAGGTGAGGGGCAGCCAACATTTCTCCCTTCCATAGAGAACTATGCCCAGAAGTGGTGTTCCATGCTCACCGAAAGCTCAGGAGTCTTCTCGGCCTGCCATGCCACCGTCAGCCCGGTGCCCTTCTACTCGGTGAGACCATGGTCTGCTGGACCTGGGTGGGGCAGGTATAGGAGCCCTTGGAGGCTGGACTCCCAGGTCCACCCACCACTCCCCATGCTGGTGTTTACTTCTCAGTTAAAGGGCTCACCAATGGAGAAGCTGAAAAAGAGGATTCTAGTGTCCTCTTAGTCCTAGTGGTCCTAGTGTGTGCCCAACCTCCCTCTTGTAAGGACAGCAGGTGCTGGAACCAAGCTACCTCACGGCCTTGTCCCCCTAGGCTCCCCCTTAAAGGCTTCTTTCTATGGTTGACCACATTCAGACATGATAGAGCACTGCAGAGCACCTTTTGGGGGACACACTTTAAACAGCACTCCAAAGCCCTAAACTTTAGTACATCATTCCATCCCCAAGGGTGTGTCTCTGGGCAACCCACTTCCATGACGCCTCACTGGACACACCCTGCTGAGCCCAACCCATCCAAGCCCCCTATGTGCAGCTGGGTTAGAACAATGCCCTTGTCTTGTGGAGATTCTTCCCCAGGGCCCCTGCCTTAGGCTTCAGGCCTTCCTGAACCCAGGTCTGTTCTCCATTCTGGCTGCCATTTTACCCTGTGGCTTCTGACACTGTCCCTAACACGAATCCCAGGCCACATCTTGAAGACCCCGCTCGTCAAAGTTTCTGACGGGATGGCTCCCGCTGGGAAGCCTCAGGTCCAGGCCTTGAGCAGGGTTTGATGGATGCTGATGGGAAAGTTCAATGAGCAATAGGAACCTAGGAGACAGAGGTACCTGACTTCCTGACGTCTTATCTCCCAGAACTGCATGTTTGACACGTGCAACTGTGAAAACAGCGAGGACTGCATGTGTGCCGCCCTGTCCTCCTATGTGCATGCCTGTGCCGCCAAAGGGGTGCTGCTCAGTGGCTGGAGAGACGGCGTCTGCAGTGAGTGTTCTGTGGGCCACCAAGGCTCCTTGGCACAGGTTAGGCCTCCCCACGGTAGCCATCTGGATCCTGTCACTCTGGCATAGGGGCACTTGGGACCCTGGACAGCAGTAGCTATCATCTTCTGTCCCATGTCTGCAAGAACCTTTCATCCTATGGTGTCAATGATGGTGTCACTAGTCTACGGCAGGGAAGAACAAGGGCCTTGTCAGTTCACACAGCCATTGATCTCTCTGTCCTGTTTCTTCTTCCTATAGTCAAGTACATGAACAACTGTCCCAAAACCAAGAGCTACTCCTATGCAGTGAGCACTTGCGAGCCTACCTGCCGCTCTCTGAGTGAAGCTGACGTCACCTGTGGCGTCTCCTTTGTGCCCGTGGATGGCTGCACCTGCCCTGAAGGCACCTTCCTGAATGATGAGGGTCACTGTGTGCGTGATGAGGAGTGCCCCTGCTTCTTCCATGGAACTGTGGTGGCCGCCAGAGAGTTCGTTATGGACAATGGGGTGGTGTGGTAAGAAACCGTCTTTACCCATCCCCTTTGCTCACAGATCTGTGTTGGGGGGGTGGCTAGTGGTCCTTCTATACCCAGAAGTTTGTGTGGCCTTCTAGTATTAGCATAGGCTGGTGACTAAACCTTTAGTGTATGGGAACATAGGGGTCCAGGGTCTTCCCAAGGACCCCTAACAGCAGGTATCCTCTTGGTGTTGGGAGGAGGCAAGGAGGCCCAGACCTTGGTGGGGTATGGAGAGTACTGGGGTAGAATGTGAGAGGTACTGGGCCTGGAGCAGAGGTCCTACTGTCTCTTGTAGTTCATGTGAAAAGGGGAAGCTGACCTGTCTTGGAGCCCTGATGCAGAAGAACACAGGTACCATTCCACCCTGACCAGCCTGTACTTCACCATGGTTGCTGTGCCCAGATGCTCTAGGAGAAGAGGGCTTGTGGGCTCTGTGGCAGTGTGGCTGTAGGGCTCTTGGGTTTGTGGGATATACCCTCTGGGGCAGGTCCACACAGACTGGGTGCTTGGTACAGAGCACCCAAACTTTCTACAGTCCAAGCAGCAAGACAGGGTCAGGAGACCATAGAGACCAGGAATGTCCTGTTCCAGGCCTCTCTCACATGCTTGTCCTCCCCAGAGTGCCAGGCACCTATGGTATATCTGGACTGTAACAATGCCTCAGTTGGTGACCAAGGATCTGAATGCCTCAGAAGCTGCCAAACACTGGATGTGGAATGTGTGAGTCCTCTTGGTGCAACACCAACCTTCATCCACCATTCTAAGCTACAGGAAGAGTGTGAGGGGGGGTGGATATCACTGGAAGGCCAGTGGCTTTGGGTCTTGGACTCCTCTTGGCATTCAAAGGACAGGGTCTCCTTGCTTGCTGTCCTGGGCACCTGAATAGGGCTGAGGGAACAGGATGTTGTTTCAGCCCCTGACCAGGCTACCTGTGTCCACAGTTCAGCACACACTGCGTCTCTGGCTGTGTGTGTCCCTCAGGGCTGGTAGCCGACGGGAATGGGGGCTGCATTGCTGAGGAGGACTGCCCCTGCGTACACAATGAGGCCACCTATAGGCCTGGGGAGAGCATCCGGGTAGACTGCAATAACTGGTAGGTTCTGGGACCCTCAGAGGGTATCTGCGGTGACCCTGGTCTGAGACGGCCTTGGCATTTCAGGGGCCTCAGCATGTGTCTTGGGAGCCAAGGTACTCAGAGGACCCCATATTCTGGGAAGGAAGGGCTATTTCTCCAGTGGGGGTGACTGGATTACACACCCACACAAGACCAAAGCTTGATATAGTCTGAGCTTGATTCCCCAAGTGAAGTGGCACGCTGGCACAGGACTGGGACAGCCAGTCTCAGGGGACAATACCCTTGTCAGCAATGACCTCTCCTTTCACAGTACCTGCAGGAACCGCCGGTGGGAGTGCACTGACCAACCTTGTATGGGTGCATGTGTGGCCTATGGGGATGGCCATTTTGTTACCTTTGATGGTGAACGCTACATCTTTGAAGGCAGCTGCGAGTATACCTTGGCCCAGGTGTGTGGTCCCTGGCCCCTGCCAATGAGTCACCATTCTCTATCCTTCCCACCAGTTACTTTTGAGCTGTGACCAGAGCCTCATCTTTTTCCTTCTCAGGACTACTGCAGAGGCAACACCAGTACTGATGGGACCTTTCGTATTATCACTGAGAATGTCCCTTGTGGGACCACGGGAACCACATGTTCCAAGACCATCAAGATCTTTGTGGAGGTGAGAGTATACTTAAAGTCACCGGGGACTGTGTCCCTCCCTCTGCAATGTTACCTCTGGTTCTCCAGCAATCAGTTATATTCTCAAGGACAGGATAGCAAGTGACCCAAACCCAGGACTTATAGTAGCAAACTACCGTCTTCCAACCTGGAGCCAGAATTAGATTAAGGCGAGCAGGATTGCGTTCCCTGTAGATCAGGAGGTTCCAGCAGGCCTTGGTTTGGGGCATCACTCCAGGCTACCTCTGTCTACTCGTGACCTTCTGCTCTGTGTCTATATGTCTCTGGTCATTGTTAGGACAATCACTGGGCTTAGGGGACACCCAGGTAATTTCAGAAAACCCATCTCAAGATCCTCCATAGGAAAGTGTCATTTTAAAGTCTTCAGAATAATGTGTATATTTGGGAGGGATATTATACTCAGTACCCCACTTCTGGCCAAAGGAAGTCAGAATTCAAAGTAGAAAGCAGAGCTGCTGGCTTGCGGTGTGTCTTTCTGTTGCCGCAATAAAACGCCATGACTGAAAGCAAGTTGGGAAGGAAAGGGTTTATTCGCCTTACACTTCCAGATCATAGTCCGTCACTGGAGGAAGTCAGGACAAGAACTCAAGCAGGGCAGGAACCTGGAGGCAGAAGCTGATACAGAGGCCATGGAGGATGCTGCTTACTGGCTTGCTTCCCCTGGCTTGCTCAGCCTGCTTTTTATAGAATCCAGGACCACTAGCCCAGGGATGGCACCATCCACCATTGACTGGGCCCTCCCTCACTGATCACTAATTGAGGAAATGCCTTACAGCTGGGTCTCAATGAAGCATTTCCTCAGTTGGCTCTTCCCCTCTGAGGTGGGTAGGGGATGGTATAAGGCAGTGTTGCACATGTGAGCCTTTGGAGATTTGTAGGTGTGCGGCCTGAGTTTTCCCTACTCCTCCAGTGAGTCTTCATCTGTTGAGGAGTCCTCCAGGGGCAGCAGGCAAGCTCCCGGTCTCCCAGTTCCCTGACACTGTTGCCTTATATTTCTCCATCTACAGAGCTACGAGCTGATTCTTCATGAGGGGAACTTCAAGGTGGTAGAGAGAGGGCCAAGTGGGGACCCTCCATACCAGATCAGATACATGGGCATTTTCCTGGTCATTGAGATCCGCAGTGGGATAGTCGTGTCCTGGGACAGGAAGACCAGTGTGTTTGTCCGACTGCAGCAGCATTACAAGGCAAGTGTGGCCACCATGCACCCTGCTTCTAGACCCAGCTGATAGGTCTAGGGCTGGTAGCTGACATTGAAAAGTCCTCACTACCAAGACCACACACAACACCAGGTTCCAAAAAGGACAAGTTGAAATTGCAATGCATAGTGGGTGTACTGGAATCATGACTGATAAACCAGCCCACACAGGTCTGTGCAGACACAGAATCTCCTAAAGAAAATAAGTTCAGTTCACCCACCTGCCCCAGGACCCACTTCCCACATCCATTTGCAAGTTCACAGGGCACAACCCAGGGAAAATGGGTTCTCCTTGTGTTCTACTCCCAAGCCAGGCTCTGTGCCAGCTCCCCTAACCTGCTCAGGATTCTCTATGCTCGTGTGTCTGCAGGGCAGGGTCTGTGGCCTGTGTGGGAACTTTGACGACAATGCCATCAACGACTTCACCACGCGCAGCCAGTCTGTGGTGAGTGATGTTCTGGAGTTTGGAAACAGCTGGAAGTTCTCCCCATCCTGCCCAGATGCCCCAGTTCCCAAGGACCCCTGCACTGCCAACCCATACCGCAAGTCCTGGGCCCAGAAAAAGTGCAGCATCATCAACAGCGCGACCTTCGCAGCCTGCCACTCCCAGGTAGGACCTGGCCTTGGTTCCTAGGGCTTGCAGTTGCCTGCTTCTTCCTGGGAGGAATTGAGTTTCACTGGACTGCCAGCTGGCACAGTGTGAGTGGTGGGCCCTCTGCTCCACAGAATTAGACAACTCTCCCATGCTGGGGCAGGATAGTCACATGTCCCATAGCTGCGCCAGTCTGGAATTCCGTTAAGCAATGCCAGCTGAAAGAGTCACCATCACTATTTCCTTGGGGCATGTTCTCAGGGGTACGGAAGTTCAGGTGGGTTCCAGGTACCAGCTAACTGAAATGGATAAGAGACAAAATCTGCTGTCTCCTAGTGATCCTCCACTGGAGTGAGGCGGCAGGGTGATCATGGAGAGGCTTACACCAAAAAGCCAAGTAGAAAGCCACTAGGAGTCATGGGAACAGCAATTCAGGGGACAAGTCAGCTATAGGAAGGCATGCTATAGGAAGCTATAGGATGGGGCCAGTGCACTGAGTAGAAGGACAGAAGTAGGACCGCAGTGCAAGACTCTGCAGGTATGAAGCCTGTAGACCGGGCGACGGGACCCAAGTCAAAGGACCCAAAGAGTACCAGAGAGGGTGTACAGGTGGGCAGGTGCAAGTGTGAAAGTGGGGCAGATGTGTAGGCACGCAGTGGTATGGGTGAGTGTGCAGGTAGATATCTGTGCAGGTGTAGGTAGGCAGGTATACAGTGATATGTAGGTGAGGAGCTGTGCAAGTGGATGGGTGCACATATGGACAGGAAGGGAAGTGCACAGGTCAATAAATAGGCAGATATGCAAGTAGTTAGGTAGGCAGGTACACATGCAGACAAATGTGAAGGTTCACAGGTAGGCAGGTACACTGGTGTACAATCAGGTATGTGCATAGGTGGGCAGGTACACGGTTTTCCAGCTGTGCAAGTACACAGATGGCCAAATAGATATACATGTGGACAGGTATGCAGGTATATATTCAGGCAGGTGAACGGCTGCACACATGTATGGGCACATGAGTGGCAGGTTATGGGTATGTGGGTGTACAAGTGTGTGGGTACACAGTGAGTTGGAAAGGTGGTGTTGGACAGTTCCCACTTGGGACAATCTGATAGCAGTCACAGTACCAAATCAACATTCCCATAGTGTGGGGGCTGGACTACAACTAGCTCCGTATCCTCCCCCACATTCATCTGTCCCTTGGGCAGACATCGCTGTCCTCCCTGAGTGGCACCTTGGCTCCTCCATTCCAGGTTGACTCTACCAAGTACTACGAAGCTTGTGTGCATGATGTGTGTGCCTGTGACTCAGGGGGTGACTGCGAGTGTTTCTGCACTGCTGTGGCTGCCTATGCCCAGGCCTGCCGTGATGTGGGCGTGTGCTTGTCCTGGAGGACACCAGACATCTGCCGTGAGTAGAGCACTGTCCGTGGTATTGAAGGGTGGGTCTGTGAGTGAGGTGGGCAACAGCCTCTGTACTTCCCTCCTGGCTTAGCTAGATGCTGGCCACTATGATGTGTGTATGTGTGCATGTATGTATTTGTACATGTGTGCACAGATCTATATACACACGTGGTTCTTTGACACATGATACGAAGTAGCTGAGGTTGGGGGGCCCTAGGATCTGAGTTAGGGAATGGACCCAAGGAGGCCATCTGCCTAGCCCAAGGCCTGTATGTCTGGGTATAGTCATGAGGTCTAGTAGACTCTGCCTTCTGTCCTCAGCTCTTTTCTGTGACTACTACAACCCTCATGGGGAGTGTGAGTGGCATTACCAGCCCTGTGGAGCCCCCTGTCTGAAGACCTGTCGAAACCCTGCTGGACGCTGCCTTGTTGACCTGCCGGGCCTGGAAGGTAAGGGTGGAATGTACTGGTGGAGGCCTTTAGACCTATAATCCCATGCATGGTACTAGGGTAGACCCAGTGTACTAGGGGTTCTCTGCCACTGATTGGGAACTGGGCAGTTGGATACATGCCCAAGAGGACAGAAAGTCAATGCTATCCCTGCCGGCTCTAGGCTGCTACCCACAATGCCCACCCAGTCAGCCTTTCTTCAATGAGGACCAGATGAAGTGTGTGGCCCAGTGTGGATGCTATGATGATGATGGAAACTACCATGATATTGGCACACAGGTCCCTACAGCAGAGAACTGCCAGAGTTGGTGAGAGGGGAGCCAGGGAGGGAAGAGGACAGGGACCAAGAGTGTTGGGAAAGGGCAGGGGAGGGCTAAAGCATGCATCAGCTAGGGGATGCTCATGGGTCCTCAGAGCCCCTGTCTTCCCCCCAGTCTCTGCACCCCTGATGGCATCAAGTGTGTTCACAACCTTACAGGTAAGCAAAGCCTGTGGGTTTGGGGTTGGAAGAAGGCCGAAGGCTGAGAAAACTGAGCCAATACATCTAACCCCCAGCCTGCATATGCACCTATGAGGGCCGTACCTACCACTACGATGATGTTGTCTACAACACCACGGATGGCCTTGGTGCATGCTTAGTGGCCATCTGCAAAGGCAATGGGACAATCATACGCACAACAGAAGAGTGCCCTGCAGTCTCATCTACCACACCGTTCACATTCACCAATACCTTGGCACCCCATACCACAACAGGTGAGACCATATACCAGGTTCACTGGAAGCTCCTGAACGTGAAACTATTATGTTAACCCAGAGAGGCTTGGCCACATTGGCACAAGGGAAGATGACAAGTGGCCAATGCAGGGAACTCCAGTTACAAAGATATCTTGGGTCCTGATCCATTGTTCAGTTGCCCAGGCTCTGCCTGGTGTCCATGGTCCTCACCCCTCTATGATTTCCCAGGAAGCCTTGGCACAATTGCTGGAGCTGCCATCAGGGAAACAGAAATCTCCAGGCTCCATTTGCCCTTGGTGTAGCCCACCGTAGTTAGTGAGCTCTCTCAAGACTGTTAGCTGGGTCCTGGACCAAGCCAGCATTAGCCCTAACTTGTGCTAAAGTCAAGTTGTCTGTTCCCTTGCCCTGAGATGAGAGGGGCTGAGAAGGGCTTCTATCACTTTCATGCAGGCTCAGCTCCCACTGCATCCACTGTGTCCACGGTGTGTGTCCGCGAGGTCTGCCGCTGGTCCATTTGGTATGATGAAAGCCATCCAGAGCCTGGCATGACAGGTGGGGACTTTGAAACGTTTGAGAACATGAGGCAGAAAGGGTACCAGGTGTGTCAAAGCCCTGCTGCCATAGAGTGCCGTGCTGAGAAGTTCCCCAGCATGGACTTACAGAAGCTGGGACAGAAGGTGAACTGTGACCCATCCTGGGGGCTGAAATGTCTTAACAGTGAGCAGAGTCCGCCACTCTGCTACAATTACGAGCTGAGGGTTCTGTGCTGTGATTACGTGCCCTGTAGTTCCACCCTGACATCAGGTGCAAGCACCACTCACTCCCGACCAGAGATCAGCAGAGAGTCCTCTTGGCCCACTCACAGTACTCAGAGTCCCATTCAGAGTACTCAGACAACATCCTCAGTGTCCAAGTCCACACCCTTGTGGACCACAGAAGGGAAAGAGACATCTCTGGATACAATTCACAGCTCAAGACAAACAGTGACGTTCACCTCAAAAAGAAGGGCCACTTCACATCGTATTGGGTCCACAAACTCAGCCAGCAGCCTTGTCTCATCCAGCGCAACATCAGTATTCACCTCACAGACAGGGTCCACTTCAGCAGCCAGCACGGTCACACACACGGTCAGCACGCCTGTGACCTCTACCACCTGCCAACCCCAATGTCAATGGACAGGGTGGCTTGACACAGACTACCCCACGTCTGACGGCGAGGGAGAAGACATTGAAACATATGAGAGAATCAGGGCCACTGGGGCAGATATCTGTGAACAGCCTCAGGGCATCCAGTGTGTGGCCCAGAACTACCCTGACATGAGTTTGGACATGTTGGGTCAGGAAGTGACATGTGATGTCAACTTCGGTCTGGTGTGCCGCAACAGGGACCAGAAAGGTGATTTTGGGATGTGCTACAACTACATGATCCGGGTGCTGTGTTGCAGTGTGAGCCACTGCCAGGGACCGACCACCACTGCGGGCTCACCTACCACACCACAAACTGCCACCACTGCTACCCAGACCCTGTCCTCCAAGCCTTATCCCAACACCAGTCCAGTGGAGACCTGGTCTCCTTCAGGCTCCACCAGCATCCAGGGCTCAGAGATGCCCACCTCTGGGATCCTGACTGCAAGTGTGTCATCCCCACCCAGCACTTCTCTGACAGCCACCTCAAAGACTACTCAGCATCCCAGGAGCCCAGAATCCTCTGGGACTCCTTCAGTGGTGACAACAAGGTCCACCTCTCAAGGGCACTCCCTACCTCCCAGCAGTCCCCATGCCACCAGCTCATTCTCAGCAACAACCTCAAGGACTTCCCTGGCCAGAGGGACAACCTTCTCTACCTCTCTGACCACCCCTGGACCATCCTATTCCCCTCCTGGAAGCACCAGCATGAGCTCAGCCACGGCGGCCTCCACGAGCAGAGCAATTACACATTCCAAGACTACCCCAGAGCTCACTGGAGCTCCTTCAGCCAGCACCACAGAACCATTCAGGACACTAACCACGTCCACTTCAGCAGCCAGCACGGTCACACACACGGTCAGCACGCCTGTGACCTCTACCACCTGCCAACCCCAATGTCAATGGACAGGGTGGCTCGACACAGACTACCCCACGTCTGATGGCGAGGGAGAAGACATTGAGACATATGAGAGAATCAGGGCCACTGGGGCAGATATCTGTGAACAGCCTCAGGGCATCCAGTGTGTGGCCCAGAACTACCCTGACATGAGTTTGGACATGTTGGGTCAGGAAGTGACGTGTGATGTCAACTTCGGTCTGGTGTGCCGCAACAGGGACCAGAAAGGTGATTTTGGGATGTGCTACAACTACATGATCCGGGTGCTGTGTTGCAGTGTGAGCCATTGCCAGGGACCGACCACCACTGCAGGCTCACCTACCACACCACAAACTGCCACCACTGCCAGTTCCAGGTCAATCACACATACTTCCTGGCCTGTGTCCAGCATATCCACCAGCACCAGCACCACAGAATCTATTTCATCCCCTGGAAAAACCACAATCCTCACCATGGCTTCTTCCACAGCCACAACCACACCCAGGGAGACTCGAACCTCATCATGGCTATCCACTGGTCTCTCCCCAGCCCTTAAAACTACAAGGACCACTTCCACAGGCTGTAAGTTTCAATGCACCTGGACAGATTGGCTGGACAGTGACAAACCTCAACCTGGCCAGTTTGGGGGAGATATTGAGACCTACTATCATATTAGAAACAAGACAGGTATCCAGGTATGCAAGAAACCTGTGGACATTGAATGTGAAGCCATCCTCTTCCCCAACATGTCCTTCCAGCAGCTGGGCCAGGAGGTGGTGTGTAATGTGGACTTTGGACTCATCTGCAGGAATAGCAAGCAGGCCAACAACCAAACCTGTTTCAACTACCATATCCGTGTGCTCTGTTGTGAGGAAGACATGAGCTGTTTGAGCACAACGGGATCACTGTCTACCACCTTCAGTCCAGTGACGGAATCCCCTCATACGGCAGCACCGCTGTCGTCCACTTCCACAGCAGCACCTGGATCTCCCAGAATAGTCTCCATGTCTACAAACAAGAGGCCATCGGAAGAGCCAATGGCCTCAACTTCACTCACAACACTAAGAAGAATCTCTTTCCCTAGGACAGACAGGGTTGTCTCCACTGGCACAACTGGGACTACTGAGAGATTGTCGCTCTCTAGTATGTCAACAAGTTCAGCCTCTCCAACTACCTTCCTCCAAACGTCAAAAGAGCAACACTCAGGTAAACCAAACACAACTTCATGGACAGCTTCCTCCAGCACTCCCAGCACTGCCAAGCTGACAATGTCCACTGGCACCTCCACAGGGTTCTCTAGAACCATAACCACACTCTGGAGAAGCTTGCCCCCTAGCACCCCAACCACACCTACCAAATCCACTGAACCCAACTCTATCTTGATGACAACAAAGAACCCTCCAACACTGATCACCAGTCACATGTCCAACAGTCACACTAGAACCCATATCACCACAGCATCCTCTCCTGAAGCAGTAAGTACAGAGGAGGTCAGAAAGTCCTCCTCGTCTACCTCTCTGACCACCCCTGGACCAACCTATTCCCCTCCTGGAAGCACCAGCATGAGCTCAGCCACGGCGGCCTCCACGAGCAGAGCAATTACACATTCCAAGACTACCCCAGAGCTCACTGGAGCTCCTTCAGCCAGCACCACAGAACCATTCAGGACACTAACCACGTCCACTTCAGCAGCCAGCACGGTCAGCCACACGGTCAGCACGCCTGTGACCTCTACCACCTGCCAACCCCAATGTCAATGGACAGGGTGGCTCGACACAGACTACCCCACGTCTGATGGCGAGGGAGAAGACATTGAGACATATGAGAGAATCAGGGCCACTGGGGCAGATATCTGTGAACAGCCTCAGGGCATCCAGTGTGTGGCCCAGAACTACCCTGACATGAGTTTGGACATGTTGGGTCAGGAAGTGACGTGTGATGTCAACTTCGGTCTGGTGTGCCGCAACAGGGACCAGAAAGGTGATTTTGGGATGTGCTACAACTACATGATCCGGGTGCTGTGTTGCAGTGTGAGCCACTGCCAGGGACCGACCACCACTGCGGGCTCACCTACCACACCACAAACTGCCACCACTGCTACCCAGACCCTGTCCTCCAAGCCTTATCCCAACACCAGTCCAGTGGAGACCTGGTCTCCTTCAGGCTCCACCAGCATCCAGGGCTCAGAGATGCCCACCTCTGGGATCCTGACTGCAAGTGTGTCATCCCCACCCAGCACTTCTCTGACAGCCACCTCAAAGACTACTCAGCATCCCAGGAGCCCAGAATCCTCTGGGACTCCTTCAGTGGTGACAACAAGGTCCACCTCTCAAGGGCACTCCCTACCTCCCAGCAGTCCCCATGCCACCAGCTCATTCTCAGCAACAACCTCAAGGACTTCCCTGGCCAGAGGGACAACCTTCTCTACCTCTCTGACCACCCCTGGACCATCCTATTCCCCTCCTGGAAGCACCAGCATGAGCTCAGCCACGGCGGCCTCCACGAGCAGAGCAATTACACATTCCAAGACTACCCCAGAGCTCACTGGAGCTCCTTCAGCCAGCACCACAGAACCATTCAGGACACTAACCACGTCCACTTCAGCAGCCAGCACGGTCACACACACGGTCAGCACGCCTGTGACCTCTACCACCTGCCAACCCCAATGTCAATGGACAGGGTGGCTCGACACAGACTACCCCACGTCTGATGGCGAGGGAGAAGACATTGAGACATATGAGAGAATCAGGGCCACTGGGGCAGATATCTGTGAACAGCCTCAGGGCATCCAGTGTGTGGCCCAGAACTACCCTGACATGAGTTTGGACATGTTGGGTCAGGAAGTGACGTGTGATGTCAACTTCGGTCTGGTGTGCCGCAACAGGGACCAGAAAGGTGATTTTGGGATGTGCTACAACTACATGATCCGGGTGCTGTGTTGCAGTGTGAGCCATTGCCAGGGACCGACCACTACTGCGGGCTCACCTACCACACCGCAAACTGCCACCACTGCTACCCAGACCCTGTCATCCAAGTATCAGACCACCACTAGTCTACCTGTGACCAGAACTTACTCGGCTTTCACCACGGTAGCAACAAGCTTCTCAAAAACTCCACCTGGCTCTAGCTACACGGCCACTACTGTTACATCCTCTACCAGAAGCACCCCACATGTTTCAAGTGTCATGGAAAGTAGCAGCCCAGGAACGGTCTCCTCTATCCATACAACACTCACCATCATGCCTAAAACATTACAGCCATCAACACCTGCTTTGACAACAAAGCAAACTTCCTCGACTGGAATCTGGACCAGAATACTTACTGGTACAGCTGGAACTACCTTTTCAAAACTTCCACCCACAAGCCTAACTACAGTCATAGAAGAGCTGTCTACCAGTACACCAAGAATACAGACGCTACCAGAAACCATGACTACTGCCAGCACCAGCCAGGGCACAACCTACTGCCAGCCCAAGTGTACATGGACGGAATGGTTTGATGTAGACTCACCAACCTCAGGGGTAGGAAGAGGAGACATGGAGACCTATGAAAACATCAGAGCTTCTGGTAAGAAGATGTGCCAGGCACCAGAAAAGATTGAGTGCCGGGCAGAGAACTATCCTGCAGTCAGCATTGATAAGGTTGGCCAAGTAGTAAGCTGCAGCCTGGAGACAGGGTTAGTCTGCAAAAATGAGGACCAGACAGATGATTTCAAAATGTGCTTCAACTATAATATACGTGTGCTTTGCTGTAATGACTATAGCCATTGCCCTAGCACAACGGCTGTTCCACCAACATCTACCACAAACAAGCCTAAAGCAAGTAATGAGGTCCCCACCAAGGCCACCAGTTCATCAACAAGACAAAGACACTCCATCAAAGCTACCACACCTTCAAAGACTTCAGACAGCCTGACGACCACTGTTATCCATACAGGATCCATACCTTCCACACACTCAGTCAGCAGCCCTGTGACTTCTACCACCTGCCAACCCCAATGTCAATGGACAGGGTGGCTAGACACAGACTACCCCACGTCTGACGGCGAGGGAGAAGACATTGAGACATATGAGAGAATCAGGGCCACTGGGGCAGATATCTGTGAACAGCCTCAGGGCATCCAGTGTGTGGCCCAGAACTACCCTGACATGAGTTTGGACATGTTGGGTCAGGTAGTGACGTGTGATGTCAGCTTCGGTCTGGTGTGCCGCAACAGGGACCAGAAAGGTGATTTTGGGATGTGCTACAACTACATGATCCGGGTGCTGTGTTGCAGTGTGAGCCACTGCCAGGGACCGACCACCACTGCGGGCTCACCTACCACACCACAAACTGCCACCACTGCTACCCAGACCCTGTCCTCCAAGCCTTATCCCAACACCAGTCCAGTGGAGACCTGGTCTCCTTCAGGCTCCACCAGCATCCAGGGCTCAGAGATGCCCACCTCTGGGATCCTGACTGCAAGTGTGTCATCCCCACCCAGCACTTCTCTGACAGCCACCTCAAAGACTACTCAGCATCCCAGGAGCCCAGAATCCTCTGGGACTCCTTCAGTGGTGACAACAAGGTCCACCTCTCAAGGGCACTCCCTACCTCCCAGCAGTCCCCATGCCACCAGCTCATTCTCAGCAACAACCTCAAGGACTTCCCTGGCCAGAGGGACAACCTTCTCTACCTCTCTGACCACCCCTGGACCATCCTATTCCCCTCCTGGAAGCACCAGCATGAGCTCAGCCACGGCGGCCTCCACGAGCAGAGCAATTACACATTCCAAGACTACCCCAGAGCTCACTGGAGCTCCTTCAGCCAGCACCACAGAACCATTCAGGACACTAACCACGTCCACTTCAGCAGCCAGCACGGTCACACACACGGTCAGCACGCCTGTGACCTCTACCACCTGCCAACCCCAATGTCAATGGACAGGGTGGCTCGACACAGACTACCCCACGTCTGATGGCGAGGGAGAAGACATTGAGACATATGAGAGAATCAGGGCCACTGGGGCAGATATCTGTGAACAGCCTCAGGGCATCCAGTGTGTGGCCCAGAACTACCCTGACATGAGTTTGGACATGTTGGGTCAGGAAGTGACGTGTGATGTCAACTTCGGTCTGGTGTGCCGCAACAGGGACCAGAAAGGTGATTTTGGGATGTGCTACAACTACATGATCCGGGTGCTGTGTTGCAGTGTGAGCCACTGCCAGGGACCGACCACCACTGCGGGCTCACCTACCACACCACAAACTGCCACCACTGCTACCCAGACCCTGTCCTCCAAGCCTTATCCCAACACCAGTCCAGTGGAGACCTGGTCTCCTTCAGGCTCCACCAGCATCCAGGGCTCAGAGATGCCCACCTCTGGGATCCTGACTGCAAGTGTGTCATCCCCACCCAGCACTTCTCTGACAGCCACCTCAAAGACTACTCAGCATCCCAGGAGCCCAGAATCCTCTGGGACTCCTTCAGTGGTGACAACAAGGTCCACCTCTCAAGGGCACTCCCTACCTCCCAGCAGTCCCCATGCCACCAGCTCATTCTCAGCAACAACCTCAAGGACTTCCCTGGCCAGAGGGACAACCTTCTCTACCTCTCTGACCACCCCTGGACCATCCTATTCCCCTCCTGGAAGCACCAGCATGAGCTCAGCCACGGCGGCCTCCACGAGCAGAGCAATTACACATTCCAAGACTACCCCAGAGCTCACTGGAGCTCCTTCAGCCAGCACCACAGAACCATTCAGGACACTAACCACGTCCACTTCAGCAGCCAGCACGGTCACACACACGGTCAGCACGCCTGTGACCTCTACCACCTGCCAACCCCAATGTCAATGGACAGGGTGGCTCGACACAGACTACCCCACGTCTGATGGCGAGGGAGAAGACATTGAGACATATGAGAGAATCAGGGCCACTGGGGCAGATATCTGTGAACAGCCTCAGGGCATCCAGTGTGTGGCCCAGAACTACCCTGACATGAGTTTGGACATGTTGGGTCAGGAAGTGACGTGTGATGTCAACTTCGGTCTGGTGTGCCGCAACAGGGACCAGAAAGGTGATTTTGGGATGTGCTACAACTACATGATCCGGGTGCTGTGTTGCAGTGTGAGCCATTGCCAGGGACCGACCACCACTATGGGCTCACCTACCACACCACGGACTGCCACCACTGCCAGACTCTCTAGTACTGCCATAAACACTTCTTGGGTTTCTCCTAGTGCCCTCAGCGACACTTCAGCTACTTCCACACCCACTAGTACTTCCAAAGAGAATCAGTCCTCCTCTCTGGCGAGTACTAGGACTACCATCATCTCTACTCCACTCTCCAGTTCCACGGGCTGCAAACCTCAATGTACCTGGTCAGATTGGCTGGACCATAGTTCACCCATCCCTGGGAGTTCTGGAGGGGAATTTGAGACCTATGCCAACATTAGAGCAGCTGGAATTGCTATATGTGATAAGCCCCTGGACTTAGAATGTGATGTTGTTGACCAGCCCCATGTGCCTCAGCAGGAGTCGAATCAGGTGATCAACTGCAGTGTGAACTTTGGTCTGGTGTGCAGGAACCTGGACCAGCCGGGGCCCTTTAGTGTATGCCTCAACTACCGTATCCGTGTGCTTTGCTGTGATGACTATAGTCACTGCCCTAGTACCCCTTCCGGCACCAGAACGTCAGCACTGCCCTGGTCTACCCACACTCCTCTGGTCCCTTTCACAACCACAGTGGCCTCAAGCACTGAGTCCACCTTTCAGACCAAGCATCCCTTCAGCTCCCCAGTGCCAAGTACCCAAGCATCCACATGGACCACACTTACTGACTCGGGCTGTGCACCTCGATGCACATGGACGGACTGGTTTGATGCAGACTTCCCTAACCCTGGCCCCAGAGGCGGGGACTTTGAGGTCTATGCAGTGCTACGTGAGGTTGGCTTTGTGTTCTGTGAGCAGCCCAAGGACATCCAATGCCGCTCTGAGAAGGAGCCAGACAGGCCCCTGGAAACTCTAGAGCAGGTGGTCCAGTGTGATGTGCGATTTGGGCTGATATGCAAGAATATCAACCAATCGGGGCCATTGCAATATTGTGACAACTACCATGTGCGCCTCCTCTGCTGTGACAACACCACCCACTGCACCACCCCACCCATGGCCACCCCCTCCACTGTTCCTTCTACCTCTACCCTGTTGTCCACTCACACTTCCCCAATCTCGAACACCATGTCTTCTTCCCCTGTGGCCACAAGCTCCACTGTGCCCCACTCCTCTTCCCTAGTGCCCACTCCCACCTCTCCAGTTCTGACCACCGCAACTTCACCTGGAGCCACGGGCCCTACTGCGGCCCCCTCCTCCACCACAGAGACCACCCACACCCCTGAACTTTCCCCCAGCAGTCAGGTGACCTTCAGCATGTCTACTGTTTCTCCCTTGAGCCTCAGTACTGTTAGGTCTACTGTCTTTTCCAGTCAATCAGTTTCCCCGTCACCCTGTTTCTGCCGGGCATTTGGACAGCTCTTCTTACCTGGTGAGTAGAAAAATCCATGTTTTCCCTACCTCATGTCCCTTGTCCCCTGGGTCTGTCAGCCTTGGGAGCTATGAGCCCTTTCGTGCATGTAAAGTTCAATCTATGCCCTCTCTGGACAACCTTCTCCCTCAGGCAGGCTGCCTCTATGTCTCACCTGATGCTACCCCGCCTCTTCAGATAGGGTGTGGCTATGTCTTTCTGTGTCTTTTCCCCTCCACAGGAGATGTCATCTACAATAAGACTGATGGAGCTGGCTGCCAATTCTACGCCACCTGCAACCAAAACTGTGAGCTTGACCGCTTCCAGGGTGCCTGTCCCTCCTCTTCACCTCCAGTGCCCTCTACCCCGCTTCCTGGCTGTGATAATGCCAGCCCTCCCCGGCAGGTGAGCCTCCCTTCTCCCTCCGCCTCCCTCTGATGTGGTTCTCAGGGACAACTGCATTTGGGTTGAGTCATGGCTAGTGCTCACCTAAAGCACCACCTCAACCATGTAGCCTATCTCAGTGACCCATCTTCGAGTGGCTCCTGTTGAGAGAGGCGCACTGGATCTGGGGTCTTGATCAGCAGGAGCTGGTTGCCTTATGTGATTCATATCTGTAGGGACATGGGGGTCCAGAAAGGACAGAGCTTGGGTCTCCCCATGACCTCAAGGTGAGCACCCTGCATATCTTCTGCCTCAGGTGAATGAGTCCTGGACCCTGGAGAACTGCACAGTGGCTAGGTGCCAGGGAAATAACCAAATCATCCTCGAAGAGCCAGAGCCTGTGGACAATGTCACCTGTGCCAACAAGCACTTGCCCATCAAAGTGTGGGACCAGGAGCCTTGCCACTTCCACTATGAGTGTGAATGTGAGCAGAGGGCAGGCGCGGGACAGTCCAGCAAGATGGGACAGGATTGAGGCATCTGATCTCAGTGTGTCAGTCTCAAACAACATTGTGTGCACAGGGAGGTTGGCAACATGGATGAGGCAGAGGAAGGGGCTGTGTGACCAGGAAGGGGTAGGGTGCAAAAAGCCACAATGGGAGTCCTTTCTTGCAGTCCTGATGACAACTTCTATTACTGAGTGTTAAATGACTCAAACTTGGGACTTAGAACAGCAAACTCAGGGTCTCACAGCCCTGAGCTAGAGTCAGATCAAGACAGGCAAGGCATCTCTATGGAGAATCCTTCTTGACTTTGCCAGTTAAGGGCTACAGAGTCCTTGGCCTGTGGCTTCATCACTCTATTCTGCCTCCACCTTCTTATGGCCTTCTGCTCCATGTCTCTCTCCTGCCATTTCTAAGTACACTATCATCAGGTTCAAGGAATACCCAGGTAATTTGGGATTATTCCATTTTAAGACCAACATCATATTCACAATTCCCAAGGTAGATATGGTTTGGGAGATAACTACTTTGTAGATGAAGCAACTGTGTTTCCCTGAAGGAACCATCCAGAGGTGGTGCTGGGTAACAGGGCTGGGAAGGGAGCCTTCAACTGTAGTCTTCCATAGGCTTCTGCAGTGGATGGGGGCAGTCACACTACCTGACATTTGATGGCACCTCCTATACTTTCCTGGACAACTGTACCTCGGTGCTCATGAGAGAGATCCACCCTCGCCATGGCAACCTGAGCATCCTTGCTCACAGCTACTACTGTGGGGCTACCACCAATGCCACCTTCTGTCCCCGTGCCCTCAGTGTGAACTACAACTCTATGGAGATTGTCCTCACCATCACCATCACTGGCAATGGGAAGGAGGAGAGCCTGGTGAGTCTTCTGGCAGGCAGAGCCCCAAGGCCACACTGCAAGCATGGGGCAACACAGGCAAAGATGAAAAGCCCTCAGGACCAAGAGTATTCTCCCCTCTGCAGATATGACCTGTAGGAGCTTTCCTAGGCAAAGAATAAATGCCTGGCTCTAGATTGAGGAATAGGAATGTCCTTAGTGTTTGGCAAAGTAGCATCCACTGCTGCCTAGTTGGCTCCTTAGTTACTGTTTCCCTCTGGACATCCCTAGGTCATATGGGACCAAATGTTGATAAGCTCAGGCTACACTAAGAATGGTGTGACAGTGTCCTTGAGCGGCACCACCACAATGAGTGTCAACATTTCCACCATTGGCACCAGCATCACCTTTGATGGACACATCTTCCAGATATGGTTACCCTACAGATACTTCAGCAACAATACTGAGGGCCAGTGTGGTGAGTAGTCATGGCCAGGCTCATTCTGCATCTCTAAGTCGGGGGAAGGAATGAGTCTATGGAAAATAGCGAGAAACTGATTGTAACCTCTACCCTATTCACCAGGTACCTGCACCAATAGCCAGACAGATGATTGCCGCCGGCCAGATGGCACCATAGCTTCCAACTGCCAGGATATGGCCAAAGACTGGCTGGTTCCCAGGAACAACAACAACAGCTGCTTAGCTCAGCCTAGCCCTCCCCCAAGCACCACTTCCCAGCCCCCAGTATCCAGCACATCCACCTCTACCCCATGTCCCACTGCACCCCTCTGTGAGCTGATGCTGAGCCAGTGAGTCGGCCTTTGGGGTGGTGGGCCTGGGCAGCAGTCCCCTTGGCTAACCTCCCTGCTGGGCTCTGAGCTCCCAGTCCTGACCACTCACTGCCATAGGGTCTTCGCTGAGTGCCACAGGCTCATCCCTCCAGATACCTTCTTCAGTTCCTGTGTCAATGACCACTGCAATGCCAATGTCACTGACATGCTCTGTCAAAGCCTGGAGGCCTACGCAACACTCTGCCGGGCCCGGGGTGTGTGCGTCAACTGGCGCAATGCCACTGAAGGGCTATGTGGTAAGTAGGGAGTATCCAATTTGTCAGGCCTCCAGTCTCTTTGGTTCTTCCAAACCTGTCTGATGATGCTCTCTGCACCCACAGACCTCTCCTGTCCACCCACTAAGGAATACAGGCCTTGTGGACCCCTGCATCCAGCATCCTGCAGCTCCAGGTGAGTACAATCTAAGTAATAGTGTAGCAGCTGGCCTTCTATGTCTGAAGGGTCTAAGCTCTGGGACCCCCACAACTGGATCTTGGAGGTATCACCTCATTTCTGATCCTCACTCTGCTGCTTGCCCCTCCTCACACTAGGACCCTGAGTGTTTCAACTGAGATGCAGGCAGAGGGCTGCTTCTGCCCTGAGAATCAGCTCCTCTTCAACTCCCGCATGGACATCTGTGTGCAGGAGTGTCGTAAGTGCCATTCACCTACCATGGGACAAGCCTTGTCCCACCCCTGTCCCCCATAGGGTCCTCACCTTCCAGGCCAGGCCAAGATCCCAGACATCTGCAGACCCTCTTCTGCCTGACTAGTATGTGAGAGGAGCCTGGAGCAGACGTCTAAAGGCCTTCTGAGCCTGCCACCATTCTGTCTAAACTCTGCTGCTTGAAGCTGGCCAGAGAAGCTGCCTTCCTTTGCCAAGTGCTAGACTCTCAACATCCAGCTTCACCACCGCTTCAGGGACCTGACACCCTCAGAATTCTCTAGGGCCTTCTGCTCCACCCTGGGAGAAGAGAGAGGTCTTGGCTTGGGGTACAGGTGGCCAGGACTAAGCATAGTTCTCTCAGCCTATAATCCCCTTCTGCCTGGCCTCAAACCCCAGCATCTCCAGTAACAGTTTTCTTGTTTTTGTTCTAGCCTGCGTGGGACCAGATGGACTACCCAAGTTTGTGAGTGGTGCCGCTCCCCTGCCCCCACTTGAGCTCAAGAAGAGGAGGGAGGAAGGAGGGAGAGTGGCTGACTCCTCATAGCCCAGGAGGCTGATGTGGGGCTCCTGGGCTTCCTTCCTGCTCTCACCCTGGACAGCAGAGGGCTGACCTGCTGAGGGCAAACAAGGACTTGGAGTTGAGTTCAGGCAGAGAGGCCAGGGACTTTAGAACCTCAGAGCCCTCAGAGATCTTGACTTGTCCTGTTTCAGCCGGGAGAACACTGGATCAGCAACTGCCAGTCCTGCGTGTGCGACCCCAGTGCTGTGTCGGTACAGTGTGAGCCAGTGCAGTGTGAGAGCCAGGAGCTCCCACAGTGCACAAAAGCTGGCTTTGTGACTATGACCAGGCCCAAGGCTGACAATCCATGCTGCTCCGAGACAGTCTGTGGTGAGCACCTACTGGGACATAGGAGAAATATACTCTAGCTTAGCTGCACTGGACCAATCAGGTAGGGGATGTCTTAAGATGCTTCAGCCTTTGACCTAAAAGTACCACTGGTGACCTCTGGTCTGACCTAACAGAGCAGAGACCTGGTAAGGACCAAGGAGATGAAAGCACGAGGGAACCTTATGAAACCCAGAAAAGCCATGAAGCCTACTAGGTCCCAAAGAAAAATGACACTAGAAACTAGTATTTCCCAAAAGGGAGAAGATGGTGTGTGTGTGGGGGGGGGGATGACAAAATGGGCAGCATCCTGACATGGCCATTTCTCTACAGTCTGCAATACAACCACCTGCCCCAAGAGTCTGTCCAAGTGTGAGCCAGGGCACGAGCTGATCCGCATCCACGAGGAGGGCAGCTGCTGCCCCAGCTCCATCTGCAGTGAGTAGGAATGGGACGAAGCACAGGGGAGGGTGCACTGAGACTGGCTGCAGGGGAGTTCAGGAATGGGGAGGAGCCAGGGTTTCTGCCCCACTGTCCAGATGTGTAATCAACCCCCTTTCCTTTCAGGACCCATGATGTGCACACACAATGACACCCTCTATGGGGTAAGGGCTCAGCCCAGTCAGGGTGAATAGCAGGGGTAGGCCGAGGAGGGTGGGATGCCCATGTCCCCCAGTTCCTGATCCTTGCTTTGGCATCCTTGCCATAAAGATAGATCTGGAGAGGGGGTCTGGGCCCTTAAGACATAGGACATAAGGCCATTGCGTGTGTGTGTGTATGTGCGTGTGCACAAGTGTGCACATTTGTGTGCATGCAGGAGCTGTGGAACGAGGGGTTACCACATCTGCTACATCTGAGTGGTCAGCTTCTGAGTCTCCCAGCTTACTACTGTCCCCACCCACTGAATACCTGTGTTCAACTATGGGAACAATTACACTGTGGGGAAAAGAACTGGGCTCATGGGACATGTCTGGACCCAGCTGAGTCGACCTGATATGTGCTCACCCCTGCCCCCACCTTCTCTTAGAGCTGCTCTCCTCATCTGTTCTAGGTTGGTGCAAACTTCCCAGGGGATGTTCCCTGCCAAACATGCACCTGCTTCTCTGTGGGCAATCAAGAACCAAAAGTACAGTGTAGAGAGATCCTTTGTACCACCTTCTGCCCCCAGGTGAGTCTGTGGCCCAGCAGACATCTTGAGAGACTATCCATGGCAGTCCATCATTGAGAGTCCTCCAATTCACTACAATTTTGAGGTCTTGTTTTTTCCTAAAGGGAAAAGTAGGATGCTGAGGACTGGAGGACAGGTCCTGCAGATTGATGAGCTAACTAGAAAGAGATCCAGTATGGTACCAGTAGACCAGCAGTTCTCAACCTGTGGGTCATGACCCCATTGGGGTTGAATGACCCTTTCACAAGGGGTCACATATCAGATGTTCTGCATGTCAGATATTTACATTATAATTCATTACAGTAGCACAATTACAGTTATGGAGTAGCAACGAAATAATTGTATGATTGGGGGCCACCATAACATGAAAAACTGTATTAAAGGGTCACAGTCTTAGGAAGGTTAAGAACCACTACAGTAGACAGAGAGGCTAAGAAGCAGGGTGAGCTAAGCTGTAAGACCTGGGAAGGGGATATAACACAGAACAAAGACATAATCTCTTAGGAGTTCCTGCCAAGGAGGCCCAGGACCCCTAGAGTATACTCAGACGGGTGTCTGGGATGAATGAGAGACCTGACTACCTCTCCTGTCCCCACAGGGCTTCAAGTACACACTGGTGCCAGGGCAGTGCTGTGGGGAGTGTGTACAGGATGCCTGCTTCACACCAGAGGGCCAGACAGTGCAGGTAATTGGAGAGGGTGTAAGAGATCCTCCCCTGAGCAGGTCTCATCCACAACTGGATTCCTGTCTGGACCTCTATTGTGTGTTTTGATTTCAGCCCAATGAAACCTGGGTGAACAGCCATGTTGACAATTGCACAGTGTACCTCTGTAAGGCTGAGAATGGAATCCATGTACTGACTCCACTCCCCATGTCCTGCCCTGATGTGTCCAACTGTAGGGTATGTACTTGGGAAGCACTGCCTTTGGGTGGTCCACCCTTGTCATGCCCCTGGAAGGTTCTGACCCAAGAAGTCTGTGTCTCCATGGCTTCTACCCCATATGCTGGCTCTGTCCCAGTCCTATTCTGCTCTGTTCTTGGCCCTGCAGGGAACCCTAAAGAAAATAGGTTGCTGTTACTCCTGTGAAAAAGAAGGTAAGTTGAAGATAACTCTCATCTAGTTCTCCAGCTCCATTTAGTTCCCACCAAAAGCAATCCAAGTTTCTCCCATGAGTGGCAGATCCCACCAAAGTCCCAGGCTGGTCACCCAGGAAAGGTATGTCAGTTACTTCTCTCACTGCTGTGAGAGTGTGACAAAATACCAGACAAAATCAGTTTAAGAAAGGCTTTCTTTGCCTCCTGCTTAGAGTGTACAGACCCACCATGGCAGGGAGACATGGCAGCAGCAGAAGCAGATGGTCATATATGTCTGCAGCCAAGAAGCAGACAGGGATAAAAGCTAGGGCTCAGCACACTTTCTCCTTTTCAGTCAGTCTGAGACCCTAGCCCATGGGAGGTCCTGCCTACATTCAGGGTGGGTCTTCCCTCAGAAGTTAGTTTAATCTAAACAAGCTCTCAGAACTTTGTCTTTTAAGTGACTCTAGATCCTGTTGAGTTGACAGTCAATATTAACCATCACAGAGGGCCAGCCTTACCAGGTCCAGAGTCTCTGAGTTAGGGTCTATGGTCTCTGCAATGGCCTGTCTTCTTTGCAGACTCAAGTACATGTCAAGTGCGTGTAAGCACAACCATCCTGCGGCATAAGGGTTGTGAAACAGAGATGGCAGTCAATGTCACCTTCTGCGAGGGTTCCTGCTCTGGAACGTCCAAGTGAGTGGGGGCCTTACCTCCCCAAGAATGTAGCAGAACCAGGTGCTACCTTGTCACCTTGGGCCTTACAGAGACTGTCTCCTTCTTGGTGTCCAGAGGTCACACATACCTGTCTGCATAAAATAAATGGCCCACCTCCCAGTCACATCAGGGGCAAACCTTGCTTAGCTGTACAGAATTGGGTTTCCGCCTTGGACTTGTGTCCAGGAATCTGAAAGTGTCTAGGGAAACAGGTAGCATCAGATCCCTCTGTAGTCCCCAGATGGCCCCAGGCTGCAGTCAGCTGTGAGCAGGAGTGGCCAGGAAGGTTAAAGAATCTGTGGTTAGAGAAGGCAGGAGGAAGGGTACCAGGTTGGCTCCAGGACTTAAGGTGACTTGTCCAGAGGAAGAGTCTCAACAGGGTCAGCAGGATGGAAAGAAAGGAGAATCATGGGAGGTGATGAAAGATGAAGGTGGTTTTTAAAAAAGCCCAGGAAGAGCAAGGCTGTGTGTTCAAGAAAGTAGTCATGGTGGATAGTCAGACAGCTTTCAAGAGCCCACAGAGGACCACGAATCACTATACTGTCAAGAGGACCATGGATAGGAAACGCTGACCTCCCATGTCCACAGGTACTCCTTGGAGGTCCAGGCCATGGAGCATCAGTGCACCTGCTGTCAGGAGAGCAAGGTCCATGACGTAGCTGTGGCCATGCAGTGTCCCAACGGTACAGTCATCCAGCACATCTATACCCACGTCGATGAGTGCAGCTGTGCCCTGGCCTGCCGTTCCCCGCCCATGGCATCCATGAACACTCCCTAAAGCCCAGTGCTGGAAGGCAATTGCATCCCCCAACCCCTCATGTCCCTCCACCTGGAGCAGAACCTGCACAACTGACAATGAAAACCTTAGGCACGCATGCTCCATGTGGCCCACAAGGACCCTCTGTGGCTCCCACTGTCTCTGTTCCACCCTCTGCCTGCCACTTGGTGAAACCAGTATCATGGAGGGTAATGGGACAATTAAGATCCACTTGAGGAGGGTGCCAGGGGAGAATTTGGCCCTTGGAGACGTATAGATGTTTTGGAGAAAAACAAAAAGCCTGTGTCTAAAAGACTCCCTACAGCAAGGTTGTATGCCCTTCATCACATAAAGAAGCCCTTTGCCAGTCATCTCAAGTGCACACAGGTGGATAGGACTGTCCAAGAAAGACAAGCTAACAGAGAGCTGTGTCAGGCAAGATAGCTGCCTGCTGGAGGGGCCCTGGGATCTGCGGTTGGAAAGGGGCCTGTGCTCACCCAGCCCGAAGCTGTAATAAACCCTGGTACTGTGTATCTCCTCCTGGTGTCTTTTCCTGCCCACTCTACATGGCTCCCTGCTTATGGTTTGGAGTTGCCAGGGATGAAGCTAGAGCTATCAACAGGAACATGATGGATGAGAGACTGGCTAAGAGGAAAAGGGAAGAGGTACTGGATACTGAGAGCAAGGCCAGCCAGGGAACCACAAATCAGTATAGCTGCCACAGAACGCAGGGGCAGCATCAGGGCAGCCTAGACAGACAGAGGAGCCTGTTGACTAAGGAGGCCATCCTAGCACCCATCAGTGTGTGGCAGCTGCAATGGACAGAAAAGAAGGGTGCTCTGCATTGCTCAGACCCCAAGGGGCTGTGGCTGCAGTGGTGCTGGGACCCCAGGTCCTGTTCTGCCTCCTCAGGTGCACTATATTCAAGATACCTGTAGATTATTGGTTTACCATACAAGTGGCTATCCTTGGTGCCTTTCTTTCCCTCCCTCTGTCCAAAATGGGAAACATTCTATAAGCATGGCAGGGAGCCACAGGGGCCAGGGAAATGTGGAACTCTATGGCTTGGGTTCTAGAAGTAGGCAGGAAGGAAGCATGTCAAGAGGAATTCTACATGTGGTGTGAGATAGAGAATATCCTGGCTTGACTGCAGGAAGGATAAAAATGACCTTCAAAGGTACAGAATGTGGTCAATGGTGGGGCTGTGACCTAGGAAGATAAGAACACAGTGGCTAGCTATGGCCCCAAAAGCCTCTGGAGAAGTAAGTAGAGGGGTCCTGCTATGGGCTTGGGCTACCCTGCTCTCCAGAAGTGGATGCCAACAGACTCAGTATGGCAGAGCTCCTGTGCCTGGTGTTGGGGTCCAGGGTCTAGCTAGTGAACCTGCCTTTCACATGTACTTGCTGAAGTCTGTCGGGCAGGCAGCCCCCTGGGGAAACATGGTCCAGAGACTGACAAGGCAACAGGTGTGTTGTGGGACAGCAGAAGGCTACTGGGGCCAGCTTCTTTCTCCAAGCTCACCTTTGATCTCATGGTGTGGCTTCTAGGACAGAAAATTCCAGTCCCTGGCCTCATGAAATCACATCAAAGTGTTGTTTCTTCAACCTCAGTCATTTCAAGCATCATCACTGAAGTCAAGAGCATCACTAAACAGAGACACTCTAAAATGTGGAGGTCTTCCATGTCTGGGGAGGCTCCTGACTACGACCATATATACAGCGTGGTCCTCTTTACCTGTCAGGAAACAGGCACAAAGAGACGAAGAGCTTTATCAGGAAGCAAGACCTGCTACAGCCAGGGTAGCAAACTTAAGAGTCCACTCTGAAAATACAAGGGCTGACCTGGACCCATGGAGAATCACAATGAGACACAATGAGGAAACCACAGCTCTGGGTGCACTTCAAATATATTCTAAAAGGATTTCTGCCTCCTAGATGGGAGAGTGGACATCTCTTCCCCACAGACTGACCAAAACAAACTGCAACTAAACCACTAAACTAAGTGGACTAAGCTGAAAGCAGACATCCCTGTGAAAGAAAAAGACATTAGCAATATACCAACAATGACAGGGCAGCCCAGGGGTCCACATCAGGAGGCCCAACACCCTTCCTTATAGGAATGTACACTTAGCTCCTAAATCACCAAGCTTCTGGGTCCCCAAGTGAGGCAGAGTTCAGTAAACAAAAAGGGATCAAGCACCAGGCACTCGGATTTGCAAGTAAGACAGGGTGCTTTCAAAGAAATGATTTCAGATTATTGGGAATATAGCTGAAGTTTCCCCAAAGGAAAGAACTGAAAGGGAGCTGGGTGAGGTGGCACATATCTGCAATGCAGCACTCTAGAGGTTAAGGCATGAGGAAGCTAACCTGGGCTATATAGTGAGACCCCCCCATATAAAAAGAGAGAGAGAAAGAGAAAAGAGGCTGCCTAGAGATGAGTGCTGGAATGTTCTTGCTGGGGTTCACAAGGAAGAAAGGGTGCTGCTTAGCCTGGGGAAAACTCGTATGTAGGATAATCCTTTCTGCTTCCACATTTCCACCAAGCAACTTTAAAAAACAAACAAACAAACAAAAAACAACAAAACAATCTTTTCTCATTTTACATACCAATCCCAGTTCCCACTCCTTCCCCTCCTCTCACTTCCCCCACTTTTCCCCCACCCCATCCCCCTCAGAGAGGGAAAGGCTTCCCATGGGAAGTCAACAAAGTCTAGTACATCAGTTTGAGGTTAAGACCAAGCACCCTCCCTCCAATATCTAGGCTAAGCAAAGAATTCCTCCTGATGGAGGAAGGTCATTGGTTAATTAATAAAGAAACTGCTTGGCCTCATAGGTTAGAACATAGGTGGGTGGAGTAAACAGAACAGAATGCTGGGAGGAAGAGGAAGTGAGGTAAGACGCCATTTCCTTTCCTCTCCTCTCTGGGGGCAGACGCGATGCGATGAAGCTCTGACCCAGGATGGACATAGGCTAGAATCTTCCTGGTAAGCGCACACATTAGGGTGCTACACACATTATTAGAAATGGGCTAGTCCAGGTGCGAGAGTTAGCCGAGAAGAGGCTAGATATAGTGGGCCAAGCAGTATTTAAATGAATACAGTTTGTGTATTGTTATTTCGGGGCATAAGCTAGCCAGGTGGCTGGGAGCTGGCGGCAGGAACGCAGCCCTCCCCCCCACCCCCCCACCCCCCCGCAGCTCCTTCAACACCCTCCAAAGAGAATGGGCTCCAAAAAGCCAGTTCAAGCACTAGGCATAAATCCTGGTCCCACTGCCAGTGGTCCCACAGACTGCCCCAGCCACACAACTGTCACCAACATTCAGAGGGCCTAGTTTGGTCCTATGCAGGTTCCCCCACTGTCAGTCCAGAGTCAGTGAGCTCCAACTAGCTCAGGTCAGCTGTTTCTGTGGGTATTACCATCATGGTCTTGACCCCTTTGCTAATATTATCACTCCTCTCTCTATGACTGGACTCTGGGAGCTCAACCCAGCTCTTAGTTGTGGATCTCTGCATGTGCTTCTATCAGCTGCTGGCTGAAGGTTCTATGACAACAATTAAGGTAGTCATCAATCTGATTACAGGGGAAGGCCAGTTCCAGCACCTTTTCCAGTACTGCTTAGGGTCTTAGTTGCACTCCACAGCTTTTAAATAGATCTCAGCTGCAGGGTCTTGTTCCCATAGATAACACAGTAGAAGTCTACAGTTCAAAAGGATGGTCATGAGTTGTTTGCAAAGTATAAATGAGGGACCAGACAGAAGGCTCAGTAGTTAAGAGTACTTGCTATTATTCCAGAGGACCCAGGTTCAATTCCTAGCAACTACACAGCGGCTCACAACCATTTCTAACTTGTTCCTGTGGATCTGACACCCTCCTCTGACCTCCATGGGCATTAGGCATGCACATAGTACACAGACATACATACATATAGGCAAAACACCCATATACATAAAATAATAAGAAATTTAAAAACATAAGTGAGGAGCTGGGGCATAGCTGAACAGGTAAAGGCACTTGTTACACAGGCCTGGCTACCTAAATTCAATCCCTGGAACTTACATAAAGGTGGCAGGAGAGTTGCCCTCTGACCTCCACATGCACATGATGGCATACACAAAATGACATGCACATGACCACTCTTGCATATACACTATATACAATATTAACAAAAGCAAGTTAAAACTAATTAAGTGGTGGACTGGGGAGATGGCTCAGTTGGTAGAATGCTTGCCACATAAGTATGAGGATTTGAGTTGAATCCCCAGAACCCACGTAACAGCAGGATTTGGTAATGTGTCCCTGCTGACCTGGCTGAGCAGAGCCTTTCTCTGAAGAGGCAACTTGGCTAGATGGCCCCCATCACTGTCTCTCACTAACTTCAACTGGGAGAGCATCCTTAATGGCTGGGCAATAGTGCCACACACCTTTAATCCTAGCACTTGGAAAGCAAAGGCAGGTGGATCTCCATGAGTTCGTGGCCAGCATGGTCTACAAAGTGAGTTCCAAGACAGTCAGAATTGTTACACAGAGAAACTGTCTCAAAAATCCAAAACAAAATAAAACAACAACAAAAAAGCCTCACCAGCCTGAGTCCCTTGTCTGGGTGTGCTTCTGGGGATTGTTCTAGAGAACAGGTGGTGGCATTGGAATTCCAGGAAGAACCTGGATCCCTCCCAGTCAGATGACAACAACGGTCTCAGGTGCTCCATCTTGAGAGAGTCGCCTGTGCTGAGTCAGGACAGGATGGAATATGAGGTGCTATTGGCATGGACACAGGCGGTATCATGGTATAAAACCCACAGGTCTCCCTATGGGGTTAAATATGCCACTACTTATATTCAGAACAAGACAGTTCTAAGTGCTGGCCCAGAGTCTCAGATCAAGAGGCCAGACCTAAGAGTCTAATCTAGGACTGAGAGAAAGTAGGACAAAGTAATATGCCTCAGTGGGCCTCATTTAAGTTCCTCAGCCTGGAGGGCTGGTGGGGGTATAGCATGGTGGAAACAGGCGTTTGCTAATACAATAAATGCACTCAGCACTGACTTGGCATGCTGCTAGCTCCTAGAGCTGTGAACAGTGTCCAGTAGAGACCCCAGTACTGCTTTATGGATGGTGAGGGGAGAGACCTTTTCTCCATCAGGTCTTGGAGGATGTTTTGCTCAAGAAAGCAGTAAAGAACATGTAGATGGGCTGTCCTACGTGGGATGGTCTTTGAAGAGACATTGTAAGATTGGGTTCTTGAAATAGTAGGGACAAGAGGACTCTAAGCTAGCAGAGAAATGAACAGCAAACCTCTTCCAGAGGCCCTGATAAGTAAGTTCTGAGTCCAGGGGCATCTCAGGGTTGTGGCATGCAGAATCTGTGGTGACTGGCCCTGGATCATATAATTTTCAAGAACAAGTTGACAAGGACATGTACTCAGAACCAAGCACCAACTGGACAGCAGAGATTGAGGCCAGCCTCCTTAGTGGAAAGCTCTAAGTCTTATCCATTAGCAAGCCTGAGGCTAATATGGACACATCTGAAGGAGAGGCAAGACTCCCTTGAGAAACATCTTTAGAGATACCACAAGGTGTTGGGTCTCCAGCCTCCCCTCCAGGTTGGTATGTGAGTGTTCTACTGTATGCATGGGTGAGAATATGAGATCAAGACTGTCAGGCCATTGCTGACACTGGGATCATGTGGCATGCCACTGTGGCCATGCTAGGTAGGCCTTTGTAGAATCAGGTATTAGGTCTGCTTCTGTCCACCCCATGACAGAACTCTGATCATTTTCCATGACTCTGGATGCTCAGCAGCTGGTGTGCACCCATGGCCATTTGGCCTGTTTAATAAGAACTACTACAGCTGACAGGCAAGCAGGATCCAAAGCAGGTAAATCAAGTCTACATTGGGACTGAAGTTAACAAAATCTTAAAGTCCAGAGTCAAGATGCTAGGGTCCCTATATAGACTATAACTGAGAGCCCATGGTTAAAATGTTGGAGCCTGGAGTATAAAGCTCAAAGTAGGACCACCCCTAGGATAGAAAACTCAGATGCAGGTGACCCTCACCTGTTTTATATAACTCATCTTTCTGATCCTACAAAGCCCAGAGGGAGCATGTGACTAAGACTGACGCTTTAGTCCTCTATCTGTAAGAGGCATGATGGCGTGGACACACACATGTGAATCATTGCAGAGCCCTGAAACGGCAATGTAAGGATCTTACCATTTCAGCAGCTGCTCTTAAAATTTAACATGTTCGCTCACACTTGGGCTAGTCATCTCTTCTCCTTTGCCTCTAGGGAATCCCATCTTTCACATTACTTTTGCCAGACATCAAATACTGTATTAAATAAAATGTTTTGTGCTGTTCACACAGGTCCTCCCCTCCCCCGCTTCGGACTTCTCAACAATCCTTGCATCTTGTCAGTTCTCCACCACTGTCCTTTTGACATGCTGCCTCTTTCTCTAAACACAGACTCCATGAAGGGCAGGGTCTCCTCCACTAGTTTCTAATCTACTCATACAGCACTTCCTCTGTGGCTCCATTTTCCAGCTCATCATTCAGTCTTGACCAACCTATATAAGAAATTCACCCTAAGGCTTGGTTTTTAACTCTCAATATTCAACTCTTTTTTTTTTTTTTTGGCTTTGTTGGGTGCTTTTAGAAGTCTGTTGATTTTTGCTCACAATGTTTTTAATCCTGTTTTTAAAACCTTAAAAAAAATCCAGCATACATACTTCATCAGGGATTTGGAAGCATTGTTGCTTCTGCTGATCCCAGTTGACAGCTTGCTTCTTAGTGCTCCTAACTCCCACTGCACTCACATGTGGTCAGTGTTGAATGCTGGTAGGCCTGCATCAACCCCTGCTTCTCCAGAAGAAACATTTTTATTTCTATGTACTCCAGACAGATTCTGGACTAAATGACTGTAGACCACAACCTAAGACAGTAGGAAGAAGCTAAATCATGAATTCTGTTAATCATTCCTTGACTTTTTGTCCTATCAGGTTGTCTTTTCCCTAGCTTGGCCTGGGGATGAGGCTCTTACTTTTCTAACATCCTAGCTTGACAACAGTCCCGTTCTTGAGCCAAGACCCCGTCCTGGCTGCAGGACCTGTTATCAAACACCTTGCACCTGGAACTTCAGACCGACCTGTGTCCATCACACATGCCAAGTACTGTGGCTCATCTCGAGGAAAAGCAGCAAACAGAGGCCAAACCCTAATTGCCTGCTGAAATCTAATGCAATTTTCACTCTACCCTGATGAGCACTTAGGAAAGTGTCATTTGTCATAGAAAAGCTTTTAAGAATAAATATCCCTTATCAGCATCATATCCAGTCCTGGCACACAACTTCTGTCAGCTGTTTGGAGCACAGAATCAAAGCCTGAAGATCACACTTTGCAGAGTACTGCTTTCAGGATGAGGTGGGAAACCCTTGCTAATACAGCAGTGACACTCACCACCCAGGGTGGCCTCCCCCGTGGAGGTGCTTTCCCTATCTACTTACCTCCTTCAAAGAGTGCAGGGAAGAGGTTATACCAGCTGCTGCCCCAGCACATAACCTACAGCTATTATGACCATGAAACTCCAT